ATGTTCGCATGTAATTAGGAACGAAGTGATGCATGATGATATCATGGAAACTGAGGTTTTTTTGCTTGATAGAAGTAAGCATTTGTCAACCACTTAAAAAATGTATTAAAAGGGGGAACTTGAGGATAGGTCAGCATGTTGAGTGCCTTTTTATGGGCCCAAATTTGGACTCACGTTATCTATTTTTTTAATTTTTTTTACGAAGTTGGCCTGTTTAGAAATGCAAATCTAGACTAATGCAGCATTATCTGATGCCATGTTCAAGTCCCTTCCACCCTTCCAAAATTCAGAAGTTTGCCATGATGAAGTCCTTTCCAAAATTTTGAAGTTACATTGAGATTGATGGTTATAATTTGAGTAGCCCAATCCATAAACGTTAGTTATACACATCCATAACTTGCTCAAAAGTACCTATTTCTCTTCATTCCTATCCTGATAAAATTACACAACATATCTTGCCATGTTAGGCTCAGCTTTCTGAACTTTTCCTCTTGTGTCTATGAATCAAATAGCAATACACAAATAGAAGGAAAATTTCAGTGCAAAATAAATCCACTATTCACTCAGTTGAGTACAAAACTTCTAAAACCCATTGACCAAAGATTTAAGGTGTCACGTCCCAGGCCCACGGGCTCGTTAGCGCATGCAAGCCATGTGACCCACCAAGAGCAACTCGATATTGGCTAAAGCCCACTGCCAAAATGCTAGCACTAATTGTTCTTGGGTCTTGGGTTTCTCTATTTAAGTCACTAACATTTCTTCACACTAGTCCATGTCGGCTAAAGTGGGGGTGTGATAATTACCCTACCTTACAAAGACGACATAGCAATTACACCCGTATAACACTTAACTCCACACTTCCGTCTGGCAACTGCTCTGATACCATTTGTCACGCCCCGGGCCCACGGGCCCGTTGGCTCGTGCAAACCGTGGGACCCACCAAGAGCAACTCGATATTGGCTAACTCCACTGTCAAAATGCTAGCACTAGTTGTTATTGAGCATTGAGGTACTCTATTTAAGCCACTAACATTTCTTCACACTAGTCCATGTGACACTAAAGTGGAGGTGTCACATAAGGAACCATCAAAGAGAACGGGCAAAAAAAAAATCTCTCTCTTGAAGCAAAATTCCCACTGATCTCAAATATTTTCAATCTAACCCATCAATATAGGAGAAGCTACGTAAATAGTCTGAACTGTAGTGAAGTGATATTCGGTTTATTAACTGCTACTGTCGAATTCAAGTTAGTACAGAACCAAGCGTGAAAGTCTTCGGGAGACAAAAAAATGCTGAGAAATTTACAGTGCCTTTAGATTCACCACTTATCCATAAACACTGAACCAAGAATAGTACAATGCAGAAAAAATTACCAACAGTTGTACAAAACTAACTAGTTGAACTGTAGTACAATTCAATTATTCCTCCCGATACATTATGACATTCAAACAGTCACAAAACTCAGAGCAACACGTTCAAACAACTAACATAATTGATCTCAAACCTAAATCTCAGCAAATTTGTAGTATGCAATAATCTCAGAGCTGAATTGGGTTGAAACAAACAGTGGTTAGCATCGTAAGTGGCTTTCCACGGCCCATGGTGAATCCACGAGTTCCATCGGGCATTCTTGGTCCCTGGGAAGTCGACTTTGGTGAATTTTCAGCAGGGTTGCCTGCACCAAGTTGCTGCTGACTCTGAGCGAGAAGACCGCGCCCACTATGGCTATGGACTAGACCATGAGTTTTTGTGCGGCTTTTTGCCCGAATTTTCTTTGTACTTGTTGGAGTTGGAATTTCTTCAGACTGGCAAGGCACAAGTTTTTGGGGGTTGGGAGCTCCGGCCTGGGAGATAACACGGGCAGAGAAGGAGAAAGAAGAGGGGAAAATGATTTCAGAGTCAGAAAATATAAGAGGACAGGGAGGCCTTTTTTTTAAAAGAGTAGGGGTATTTTGGTCTTTTGGCAGCAAGTGATTAGCGCATGTCGCGTCAGAATTAACAGTGTTAGTTTTGGTCGTTTTCTGAAAAATTTAATGGGGTTAAGTTGAATTTTCAAGCTTATTGCGTATGGAGTGAAAATCCAAAGTTATTGAGGTTGAAATTTACCCTGAATACGTACATAAACTCAGTGTCAACACTTACACTGCTTTCAAAGGTATGTTCTACATGTGTAGATGACCCTGATGTCTGAGATTGTGGTGACTGATCATCTTCGGAGATTGTATCAAAATGATCGAACTCTGACCTCTTGTTTCTTATCACTGATCTTGGCTGGAAAACCAAAAAATGCAAGTGTTAAAATGAGAGTGCTCTCTCAAAAAAATAAATAAGTAAATGAGAAAACTGGAGACAACGTGAAGGTATTAATTTAATATCTCATGTACATTAGATTCGTGAAAGCTGGGAAAGTTACCGAGCGTCTAAGCATTGACCTAACTCGAAGGCCCTTCCTCCAGTTCCTCTCATCGTTTAGCTTCTCAACCTACAGAAGGCAAGACCCAAGAATTTTTTGGTGATTTGAAATTGGCAGAAGACTTATATCGAAGGAAAAAAAAAAGTAATATAAAAGATTGCATTTTGTCATTGACATATACTCACTGCCTTGTCAGCTTGATCGGCTGTTTCATATTCCACAAACGCGTGCAACTTCATAGAAAATGTTAGATAGTTCAGAGATGCGGGGGAAAAAAGACATAGAAGATGCATGCACGTGAGAGGTGAACACTGAATTTACTCAATTAAGTTTTCATGTTAATATTGTGCAATAAATTTGATCTTTTCGCTCAACTTGAAAGTGGTACAGCTATTAGACTTTTTGGAACCAAAAATATGTGAGCTCAACTCTGAAAAAATCTATAAATTTGAAGGGTGCAGTATAGGTTCTTAATTAGATTCTTTTCAGGTATACGTTTAGTTCTGTGAAACTCATATAAATATTATTTGCTATTTATTTCCAAGAAAATAGTACAGGACTATGATTTATCACCTACATTAATCTTAATTCTTTAGGTTTTAGTTTAATTTCAAAATGTCAGCTGTGCAATGCATACCTTGTTACTGATGACCATATCACCCTTTGTAGATTTAGAAGTATTCTGCTCCTGTGGATGACATATTCTGATATTCTTCACACTGTAAAAGCAAGTAAAATCCAATTTATTGAGCTTGTACCAATCTATACTTTAGTGTTATGAATAAAAAGATGTAATATCAAACCTCCCAACCACACTAAATATCTTCTCAAGATTTTGTCGTGAATAATCTTCAGGCAAATTTTCTACCACCACAATATGAGACTGCAGGTTAAAAGGAGAAAATAAATTACCCATTTGTCCAAAATCAGATCTGTACTTAACCTCTTCATATGTTAACATAGACGTGTAGATGTTTAAATGCTCTTAAAAAAATTAAACATTGGCATGCACCGAGATTTGTGCATGTCGTTATTGCTGTGCATCAATTATGGTGAAATGTTGGAAGGATTTATTCAGAGAAGAGCACATACAAATATTGAAGTAATGCATCAAATTAAACATACATGAACATGAATTGTGTGTATGTTATATCAAATATATGAATTATTCATCTCTGATCAAAATATGCATATGCAATATGATTATAACCTGCAATTCTTCTCTGTCTCTTTCCGTGAAGAGCTGTTTGCGCCTGACTTTTTTACCATCATCACTTACAACCTGAGATAGCCGAAGCTTGTCATGAACAGTTTTGAAAATGTAAAACTTAATCATCAAGTTCTCAAATTTTGGTGACTAGAAACACTTAAATGGTGACTTACAAGCTTTGTGGAGGTCTTGAGTGCTTTTACAAGTGCCTGGTGGTTTGCACCAAGAGATTTTATCTTCTTCCAAGATGCAATTACAGACATAGGAACTGTTAAAAGAAAATATAAGAAATGAATTTGTCAATGTTAGGAGTACCCAAAAGAATGAAAATTGTAGTACGTTATAGTACATACCATAACCATCAGGATCTTTATTCATGATCTTCATTAAAAAATCACTGGCAACCAGATTTGTATCACTGAATTGGTACTCGACCTAATTGTGTTTCGTGTTTCACATCAAAATACTCATTATTACAAATCAAAACATAATACAGAAATAACTGTGCGAAATAGGAAATCCTGAAACAATTTCGAAAAGGAAGCTAATCAAACCAGGAAGATGGTCATGAAAAAAAAAATCTAGAAAGAACGCTACCATCATCAATGAATAGCCTATAAGCGTCAGAAAATTAGGAAACAGGTACCTGCTTGACAATCTTCTGACTGACATCATCGTTGCTCCTCGAATTCGCAGTGACCTTGGGTCGCGAATCAGGTATGAACATTACTGGATCCGGATCCCCGAAGTAGAACCAATCCGGGCCCAACCCGTATCCTCCATTGCCAAGGAACGGGAGATAAGGGTAGAAATAGCCTGAGTCAGGCACCTGGGTTGTCAATCTAGGGACAAACTCAGGTGCATGGACATTGAATTTGAAGCCGGGGCTCTTCGGCATGCTAGATCTACTGATATCTCCATCTTTCCTCCTCTCTTGTGACATTGATTTCTCCTTTTTTCTGCACCGTTTTGCTTCTGTTTTTGTAGCTTGTGCTGGTTGGAATGGGGCTTAATAATAATTTGAATGCAGATGTGTCCTCATGGGGATTTTTGTGGTGGGGGCTGTTTCTTTGGGAGTGAATTAATCCACTTTTGGCGCCATAAGGTTGTGGTTTTATTGCATCCGACAGTTATGGCAGTTAGTTTGACCCGGGCCTTTTGTCGGGGGCAATCTTGTAAGATTTTGGGTGGGTATTTGTAAATTCAAAAAGAAAGAAAGAAACCAAGCTGCAATCGTGAATCAGACAACAAAAAGCAACGATTATTTCACGTTATTGCAACGGATAGGCTAATAACTTTCCCGGGTTGTAACATTATTCGATACTTTGATCGAATGAGAGATTCTGAAGATACGTAACATGCCTTCTTCATTTGTGCACATTTCTGATATTCGTCGAGGTTATAGTTTCAATGCTGCTCTGAAGCCCTCAGCTCCAAAAGAGTACTAAAAGGAACTTGCAGTAATGGGAAAGGATTAAAGGTGCGTGAACGGATGATGAGATACAATTTGGCTGAAGATTTCAATAGCCAGGTTACTATATTTTGGCTCATATAGAGAATACAAGACTAATAGCAAATATCCGTGGCTTCTCTCATCTCGCTTGCATCCAACAGAATCTAAGAGCATCTCCAACAGCTTCTCCATTTCTCACTTTTGAAGAATATAGTTAGGTTTTTGGTCCAACAGATTCCCCATCTCATTCCCCAAAATAGGGATGGAGGAGAAAAAATAGGGAAGCTTCCCCAAATCTGCAGCATTCTCCAAATTTTTGTAGGAAAAAAGAGATTCTTCAAAATAGGAAAGCTGTTGGAGTTGGTGTAAAAATAATTTGGAGAATATAACTTTTGCTTCCCCATTTTAGAGAAAATTTTAGAGAAGCTGTTGGAGATGCTCTAAGATATTGAATACGTTTAACACTGTTTGTTCAATCATCGACCTGTTCTCCTACTAGTGAGCATGGTGGTTAGTGCGAGACCGAGGTTTTACTTGGTCAGCCGGAGTTCCTTGCTGGCAGAACGGTCTATGAGCGGGTGCCCTGTCACTGAAGGAATGGGCCCACATGGCCTTAATACTCAGGGGAGCGGTGGTTCGAACTCGGGACGATTACCCAGCTCCAGCTCCAGCTCCAGCTGATCAGGTTTTCCCCATCAGCCAAAAATAGACAATCTCATTAGAAAGTCATGATGATATTGTCATAACGACATTGGGTTGTTTAGTTCTGTTTTGATGCCCGAAAGTTATATTTTGACAATTTGGTACCGCAAATTGCAAAACAAGCTTACATTAGTTTTGTCCAGGAATATTAACATAGAAAAGTGAATCAGAAGTAATTTTCTAAATTTCAATTTTTTTGAGTTTGGAGAAAGTGAGAAACAAAGTCAAGGCTTCAGGATATATCAAGTTAACGTCAATTTGAAAGTACTAAAATATAATGGATTGAACTTCAGGATATCAAATTTAAATGGCGAAACATGTGGGTTTTTAAAGCGCAAATAAGCCTTGACATTATTGTAATTAGGTTTCTGGCTAAGGGTTTAGGTGAAAAAGACACTACTTTTCTACCTCACTCCAAAAGCTCAAGCTCCCAGATCTCTCCAATGGCGAACGCCTGGAAACGAGAAAAACCCTCAAAATTCGTCTCCATCAAATCCCTTCTCGTCCTCCTCGTCCTCATCTCCCTTCTCCTCTTCTTCTTCTCCTCCTCCCCTTTCTCCTCCTCCTCCTCCATCCAAAACCCTAATCCCCAAACCCTCAAAACCCTAACCCTAACCTCCCCAAAATTCCATCCCTTCAACTGCCTCACCTCCCCTCAAGCCTCCCCCGTCATCGCCAGCCTCGTCGAAGGCGTCACCCATCCATTCCTCTTCTCCCTCTCCGACTTCGGATCGCTCCCCGATAAACCCCACAAAAACATTCAGAGAATTCTCAAAGGGAAACCCTTTCGGAGGCCCGATATCTCGGTGACGATACAGGAGATTCTTGCGAAGAAGAAGGGTAGTGATGGGATTGTTGTGGATGTTGGGGCTAATGTTGGGATGGCGACGTTCGCGGCGGCAGCGATGGGCTTTCAGGTTGTGGCGTTCGAGCCCGTGTTTGAGAATTTGCAGAGGGTTTGTGATGGGGTTTTCTTGAATAGGGTTTGGGAGAGGGTGGCGGTTTTTCATGCGGCAGCGTCAGATAGAATTGGGAATGTGACCATTCATAAGGTATAAAATTTTAAACTTTGTTGATTTTGGATGCTTGAGTAATTGAATTATGATGTGTGTGCAAAGTGTTAGACATGTATTTGGTGGAAACTCGACTTGTAAATCCGTAGTGGATTGCGCATCATTTTTTAAAATTCAGCTCTGCATTTTATCAGTGGATTTAAGATTGTTTATGAACCGTCTATGCTCTGCACGACGACAATGACTGGAAAAATGAAAAGTGCAGTCACCTATTTTTAACCTCCATCAAAATTTGGCTCTGAAATGCCTCAAACATTTGAAGGAGTTGTTCTCTTCATGTCATTGTTGTCTACAAAATAGGCACATACTATATCAGGCTTGAAGGATTTCCATGCTCAAATTAGTTCATGAATAGTATCTTTATCTTTAGTGAAGTCATTGTGAGAAGAATGTCCTGGTCTTACCATTATCACCCATTATAATAAGCTTAAACAATTTGTAATTCATATCCCTGTATCGATAGCGTCATTATCCAATAAATGCTATTCCAAGCTCAGGTTGCTGAAAATAGAAAAAGCTGCGGAACAAATACTTTGAGATGAAGGACTTTGATAAATGTTGTACTCATTGTTCAGATGAGGCTCTCCTTATGCGATCTTACCCTAGCCCTCAATTGGGCATGCATGTGTATTGCTGATCATCTTGCTTTCTCCATCTTTCTGCATGAAAATTTTCTTCTTCTTTTTATATGCCTTTGTGTAGGAAAATTACTCTTGCTTTCGATGCACCACATTGTTTTTCCTGTCTGTCTCCATTTGGAATTAGCTTCACAACGTGACAACGTCTTAAACAAACAGAACTTTATGATCCTCCCCTAGGTTGCTACTTTTTATAATGTTTATGTGTGTCTTTCAGCACTTTCTACAGAACCTTCATTTTATGGAAATTATATTAATCATCAGGGAATTCTTGTTAGTTGCGAATTAGGGTTGTTTTCTTGTAACACTGCTTCTGTGAATTTGGATATTCTTATTCTTTGGAGGTGATTTCTCCAATTCCCTTGACATGTCTATTGACTTGTTCTCATGGGCCGTCTACTAGCATAGCCTTTGAGCACATTCTATGTTACCTAGCTGTCAATTACTGCTACCTAGTGGCTTATGTTTTATGTTACCTTGTAGGCTTTAGGTTTACTCTTTGGAAATGTTCCATTCTATCTCAAGACATCCAAGACATAGGAAAAACTATTTTGTGGACGACCTGAGTCTTACTTTTCTCAAACCAAAACATCAAAGTTTACAGTCGAAATTGAGTTTCTTTCCTTTGCTTTGTGATTTGTGTGCCTTGGACTTTCTGCCTCCTTCCAGGTTATGGGCATCTTTTTGGGGGTTGAATGACCATTTTCATTCCTTTGTACACTGCACTGCATTTCACTTCCTATTTTGTTCATGATCTCCATCTTGGGTTTTTCTCCTGAAGCATTCATTATGATATCCTCATTTATCACATTTCTTGCAGATTATAATGATTCTCAAATTACATTGCACCATTCAAGCCCAATATCAATTGTGCACCAAGTGTAGTATGGAATTAAGGTCGAAACAACCCATATTTTATTGACATATGGTTCATGCCAATTAAGACAACTTTAATGGTATAAATTGTCCAACCTAGTGGCTAGTATTCTGTATAAATGGTACAAATCTTCCCTGTGGATGAACTACCTAAATCGTCAGTTGGACCACTAGAGTCCTAGTTAGGATAGTTTTATTACTCATCCTCCCTTAATAACATCACATTCTTTTTGTTAAGGATCCCCCACACTTGCCTTGGTTAGAAAATTAGGATCCTTACATCCACCTCATTACTTTCATTTCAGCTGAACTCATCTTTTGGAACACTTGTTTCTTACTTTCCCAACCTTTTAAAAACCTTTTTGATCTTATTGTCTTAGATAAATTTCCCTCGAACCTCATCGATATCTACTGCCACATTGTTCTCTAGAAACACTTGTCTGTTTTACGATCCTGCTTTACTGCGATAAATATCATAGTCTGCAGTATAACCCTTACTTGATCCTAAGTAACTAAAAAGATTACTTGTAGTTATTTCTGGTCATTGCTATGAGGGATTACTTATCTCCTCTCATGATTTGAGATGGCACTGGAGTGACAAGTGCACAGTTGCAGGAGTTGATACACCTACGCTAGACAAAAGTTAAACACGGATTCGGAGAGCCAAAAGGGTATGTGTTTGCTAATTTGTGAAGAATTTGAAACCTAGGTGTAGCTGAATAAGGTTTCGCATAGCAGACCCTGAAAAAATGTAAAAGAGTCGAGTGTCTTCAAGTTAGATGGATTACCTTAGTATCGCTATTGAGTATATACCTCCATTGGACTTAGTTGAGTATAGGGATCTGTACTTGTGAAGAGAGACGTACTGACAAAAATGTTAACGTTGCAACTAGTAGGACTAATACTGAAAGGAAATATTAATGTAAGCAAACATGAAGTGATGCACAAGGATTAATCAATCACTTCCAAGTTTATAGCTTCTTCATAATTCTGGCCTAGTCTTCCTCTTCCTCTATGTCCATATAAAAGCTCCAGTTACAGCTAGAAATCCTAAACTTATGACTCTGTAAGAATGTGGTGATGGTTACTATACTGCACAAAGGCAATGGAAAAGTTTCACTTACCTAAACAAAGAATGTGGTGATGGAAGTGCAACATCCTTGGGGTATTATTATTTACAACAAATACAGTTTCGTTCAGTTCGACTTTTTTGACAGGTATCACAAGATTGCAAATAATGTTACACAACTCTCCTCATTTCTGGCCAATAAAGTGGCCTCCTTCAGTCTATGTATAAGTCTTTCTTCGTAACATATTGCCCATGCAGAGATCCCCCCCACCCCCACCCCTAAACAAACAAACAAACAAACAAAAAAGGCTCCCAGCTCCCAGTTCCCGTCTAGAGAAACAGCTGATAATTTTTTAACAGAGCCAACAAATGTGTAAAAACCAATCTCTTACACCTAGAAGTCCCCTCCAGAACCATCTTTAGATACCCTGAAATTGATAGGAGGCCTAGGCTATACGAAAACATCGAGAAATGGCTGAAATCAGTTTAAATGGCTGAATGGTAGTGGGTTGGAAACTACTACATGTGTGTCTGAGAAGCTTAATGCTAATTTCAAAGTCGATCACTGAGCATTAATGTTTTTACAAACAGACTAAAAAGTTCATTTGGAGAAACCAATATCCTCAAATTTTCTGCTACACTGTTACTCTGTTAGAAACAATAGTTCATTGAGACAAATAATCAAATAGACAACGTGCTAAGACTTCCCAGTATTTCTGAACACTAAACCAATAGAGATATCACAAAGATAATACATTGTTCTGAGTTCTTATACTTTGTCTTTCTGTTGATAGCTAACATTTTAAACTACTTTTCTAATAGAAATTAAGAGAAGTAGATAAAAATGATACCTTGCTGCAGCACTATTGTTACAATAAGCAAAGTAGAGATTGAAAGAAAATAAAAATTTAATTGCAATACAACTTCAGATTTCATTACTTCACTTCACTGATACAATTTAACAGTTAACAAAACAAAACATACAATCTTAGCCTCCTAAAATCCTTTGCACTAATGTTAACCTAACTAAAACAATTAAACCGTAACTCCTAGCCCCAATTACAACCGAACATTAAAATTAACGCCTAACTAAAACTGTGCATTGCGACCCACACAAGTCCTTCCCAACTGATTAATCATACACAAGTGCACAAACAAGGATCTACATATCGAGAAACATCATGTTGAAGGTGAGGAAACAAGCAACTGTGATGACAAATTTCTTGGTGGGAGTGATTGAGTGGAGGGTGGAGATAACAGTCAAGCAAATGAGAAAGCATATAGCATTAATGATCAGAATCAGGTGGACTACGTGACGTGCATATGACACCCTAGTATTACGGTATAGTTGAACGCTAACATTGTGTAGAAATACACAAAAAAATGGCTGCTTAAACTTATTGCTTGCATGCTCTTCCTTCAGACCTCCGGCGCCCACTCCACCTCCTGCCTCCAGAAGAACAGCTTCTAGGTCGGTCGGTGGTGCTCTCAAAGCCATCTCCTCCATCTCCAGCTCGGCAGCTCCACCATCCCAATGTTCTCAATGATGAAAGCCCTTGACCATGTTACAAAACACTCGGAAACCACTCGAAAAATGATTAGCCCATCCGCAGCAAAGACAATCATAGAGCCCCAGGATCACCATTGTGATTTACTGGCACTGGAATTTTCTAAAACTTAGAGGTAAGGAGTGAGGCAATTAGTATCAACATTATGGGCTGGTCTTGATATTAAGCTTGTTACTTAGCATGAAGCACTTCTTTGGACTCTTTCTCCCCACCACCAACTACTTTTTCAATTTTACAAAATGATAAGGGCCAGTTACCTGTTTTGCTTGATGGTAACATCATTTAATCTTTCTTATTTAGTGAAAGTCAGCCCAAATGAGTAAAAAGTATGGTCATCAAGTAGACAATACTAACAACTATACTAAAATTGCTTAATGTGTTTATTTTTCTTTTTGGGATATGAGTTATTGCCTATTGGGTACAAAGACCCAATTGAAATGTTAATGAACAAAAATATACAAGGATATTCCTTGCATACATCCTGTGTGAAGCGCCATCTCGTAGGGCGGTGTTGTTGCATCAAATGTGGGGCACTTTGCCATCTCGTAGGGCGGTGTTGTTGCATCAAATGTGGGGCACTTTGCCAGTGCCCGCAATGCAGGGCGCATAAGGCGAAATGAGGCGCATGTGTTTGATCAATGTTATCATTACGCGATGCGATCGTGAAATGTGGTCCGCAAAGTCCTTGTACGCACACATGCCCTAGGCGCAATGCAATTCACATGCCCGGGTGAAGTGAGGCGCACAACACACACATAAGTTTTCAAGATAGATAATCAAGCATGAAAGAACATGTTTATGAATTTTCACATAAAAGAAATATGCAAGTAAATAATATCCACTATCAAATGACAAAATAAGGTCTTAATTCATAATGTTAACACACCTTGTTAAGTTCATTCAAATCAAAAGTCAAATCAAGACTAATATCAAAGGAAAATCAAATAGTAAATAGAACAAGTTATGGTCCTCAATCGGTCTAGTAAAATAGCCTAATGATTTTATTTTTATTTTTTAGATATGGATTATCTAGCGTGAGGCGCAATTAGGCGCACGTCTTTGATAACAGTGGTTGTATTCATTGTTCAGACGAG